TACATTTGTGGAAAAATTTGTTTAAAATGGCCTCTCTTTGGAATAAAAAAAAAATCAATCTTAAAGACCTGAACTCATCTGGTAAGAATTTTCAAGCATGGACAATGTACTTCATTACACTGCTACTTATACTTAGAAGTTCTGAGGATTAATTTGAATATCAGTATCTGTTCATTTTCTATGTAAAAGACTTAAACATACCTATTATACTACTGGGAAGCTCTGGAGGCATGGAAATTTCTTGATTCAAATGTATGTCTTCTAAAAGAGTATTTTCATCATCTTGCAATAGATTGTCTTAAAAATACAATAAATACATTTGTCATACAGACTTGAACCTGTTATGTGTTCACTAAACATTTATTAGTATTAGTTTACACAAGGCATTTGTACTCCAACTTCATAAACTATAGGTTGCCACTCCATTTTGGGTTGTGCAACTGAATTGGTGGGGAACAGAGGTGTTGCAAAAATTTTGGTAACAAAAATTAATTAAAATAAAAAATGTAATGAATCTGATGTTTCTAGTAGTGCTCACACCTTTCTCATGCTGTCACATCACTGCAGCTTTGGTTCTGAATACAGAACATAAAGTTCATATTGTACATGCACTATCATGCCATGTAATGCCAACAAATACTGCCTGAAATACCATGGCATAAATTAAAGGCTACGGAAATGTTATGAATTTGCGCTTTTATTGTATGCACAAAGTTTTCTGCTTTTATAGAAATATAAATGACTTAATTATAGTAAACAGTGACATTTAATATTTATTTACTATTATTCCTCAGCATGTAACAAATTAGTATATTTTGGACGATAATTTGTTAGAATGTTTGATTTTTAAAAACTGCTTTTTGAGTTGTTGACTTGAATTTCATTAAAAACCTGATGAATAAATTTTGGTTGGAATTTCGTTAGAAAATTTGAAGTTCTCTAGATATACTTTTACCATCTTGTATTACTATTTATGCAAAGTGGTGTTCTCAGCATTACAAACTATATAATAAAATACTGATCAAGCTGGACATGGTGGTGCACACTTTTAATCCAAGCAGTTGGGAGGCCTAGGCAGGCAGATCTCTGTGAGCTCAAGGTCAATCTGATCAAGGTCAATCTGATCTCCGTAGTGAATTCTAGGCTAGCCAGGGTTACACAGTAGGATCTCTCTCTCTCTCTCTCTCTCTCTCTCTCTCTCTCTCTACTGATCAACTCTGAAAAAGATTGAAGATGCTTTATGTCCTGTAGTATCAAAACTTCAGCCAAGATTTAATTTTTTATGTAGAAATAAGCAAGCATATAATTCTTATTATCATGCAAATTTGCTTTTGTTTTGAAAAATGGTCAAATTTTAGTATGCCAAAGAATTGCTTTAAAATAAATTTCTTTGATTTATTCCCTTTCCTTCCCCTCCCCTCTTCCTCCCTTCCTTCCTTTCTTCCCTTTTGATTTATTTAAGTGCACACATGTCATGTGACACCTGCAGAGACCAGAAAAGGGCATTGGATTCCCCTGGAACTGGAGTTACAGATGGTTGTTACCCACTATGTGGGTTCTGAGAATCAAACCTGGGTCCTCTGCAAGAGCAGCCAGTGCTCTTAACTGCTGAGCTATCTCTCCCACCCTTCTTTCTTTTTTGAGACAGGGTTTCATTTTGTAGGCAAGGCAGGCCTGGAACTCTATGGAGCCCAGGCTGGCCTTAAACTCATGATCTTCCTGCCTCACCTTCCCAAATGCTGAAGTTTTAGGTGTGAGCTGCCATGCCAGGCAGGTAACTAGACTTTTAATGCAAGTTGGAAAATTTTAAAAGTGCATTTCATAGAAATAGTTAATAGTCTTTAAAATATATACTTTAGTTTTCCCCGTGTCTTTCCAACTTGAATGATTATTTTATATTAATATAGTAATTTAAATATAAAATGCTACAATGATCTTTAAGACAATTTGTTTTAAAGAGACAGTGTTTACCAGCATATAATCTATTATATTTTGTTAAGAGTATATGAACCTCACTTCTTTCCAAAACTTAAGCATAAAAATGGAAACAAGCAGTAGTTACCAACTTTTATGGAAATGTGCTTAATCAGATGGCTATTAACTTAGGCATAGCCTAAATATACTATAAACTTTGAAAACTTGTGTGAGAAATTAATTGATCTACAAGCACAGAAATACATCTGTAAGTTTAATTCGATGTAATAAATCTTCTGATATAGGAATTTGTCTGAAATAAATATTTGATTTTTCATGACAAGAAAGCATACCAATCATTTCTCCTGCAGCACCTTCATCTCCAAATCCATCTCCATTTTCAAAGAACAAAGAATTTTCCCCAATGAGGCTTCCAGAACTATGTTCAACTAAAGGACCACTAGAGTTCATTAATATGTTGTCATCAAAGAAGCTATGTCTTCTGAGATTTTCAGGTTCTTCCCCTATATAAATGTATATCATTAGTGCTAAGTTAATTATAGAAACATAAATGTTTTTAATACTTTACTTATTATTTTTATGTGATGCATATGAGTGTTTTACCTGCCTCCTGCAAGTGTACCTGTGTTGTACAACACCCATGGAGGTCATTTGAGGGTGTCAGATCTCCTGGAACTAGAGTTACACATGGTTGTTAGCCACAATGTGGGAGCTGGGAATCAAACCTGGGTAGAAGAACAGCATGTGTTCTTAAACGCTGAACTATCTCTCCAGCCCCAGAAACATATACTTTTAGAGTTAGAGGAAATTGAGACATTATCTAGTAAAATTCACCCTGATTTTATGAATGAGGAAAATAAAATCTTAAAAGTATTGAATTATTCAACTGAAGTCGCTCAGTTAATCAGTAGAGACTAAATTTCAAGTTTAATACTCTCTGAAGGCAACAGGAAAATAACCCATGGAAACATTAGGTAGAGTTTTTAGTAATTATATAGTTTCATCATTTCCTAGACAGTCAAAACATTGTGGGAGTAGATTGATTCCCTCTACATTAGGTAGGTCAGGTTCTGTTTGAGCAAGTATTATTTCATATTATTTTAAGGACAACTGCTTAAACAGTTCATGTATAAGAACAATATGAAAAATAAGGAGCCCTCTCTACTTTCTTAGAAAAACAGAAAGGTAGGTAAAATATTAAAGAATGGGCTTATAATAGTCATTTAGAAAATATTTATTGAATGTGCTAGGAGTCAGAGGTAGAACACTAAAAAGAACAAGGCCAGTCAGCTAACATTAAGTGAGCACTTAGTATGTGATTATATTATGCAATAGAAGATGCAATTTTCATTGTACAAATGAGGAAACTCATCACAGAAAGGTGTGAATCCAGCTCTAACTCCAAAACCTGCATTCTGATAGTCACTAGGTTATATTGATAGTTATGGAGGAACAAAAGTTAGTTCTGGTAAGTTCTTTCCAACCCTTGTGTTTTAGAATCATTATGTCCAGTATTCTGAAACCTTCGATCAGAGGATAGTCTGCTCTTCCTTCCAGTAACCCATGTTAATATTAAACAGTAAAGAAAATAATGAAGTATCAATCATATTCTTCTATAGACCTACATCACACTGAATTAAAAATATGATAAACCGAAAGGACTTACTGACTTTTAAGAAAGAACTAAGAATGTTTACATCATTCAGGATGCAGTTCTTTCCCCAGAGAAAAACCAGTCTTGGTTAATCAGAAACTACCACTTAGGAACAGACAGAAAATTCTGAGCATTGAGCATCTCAGGAATCAGAAAGCAAACTGGGCATTGTGGTACACACCTATAATCTCAGCACTTAGAAGCCTGCAGCAAGCCAATCTGAATTCCAGATTAGCCTGGTCAATATAATGAGACCCTGTCTCATTAAAAAAAAAATCTGAGAGATTACAGAGAAGAAACAATCATCACCTTCAATTTATACTGTAATTTAGAACAGAATGGATTTATATTAAACATTTATTAAGGTTTGAGGCAGTTTTTGAAGGAGAGAAAAATTACATATTAGTAGGGAGGAGTAAAGAAAATAAACTGTGATGTTGGTAGTAGTATCTCAACTTTACAGATAGGGCCATGAAGTTTAGTTACGTAAGCTGCCCAGTATACGCAGCATGTCAACTTTTAAAAGTGCCGACAACACAACAGACAGTAGCAGGGATATCAGAGTATAAGGGCTCTAGTGGGCGGAGGGAGGCTATGGGAGGGTGATATCTGGGAAGTGGGTATTAAAAAAAATAGAACTTTGAAAAAAAAGTGCAGATTCAAACCTAGTCTACTGAAACTAATAATAACATGTTCTCTTCACCTTTTAAAATTATGTAAGACGTAGAACTGTGAACAACTAAATTGTATTGGTTGGATGGTAAGACATATGCTTCAGTAGAGGAAAATGCCTATATTAAGGCTAAAGCAAGTAACATGGAAAAAGAAAGTGATCAATTAGTAGAGGGCATTGAGGAGAGGCAGATGAAATTCAGTTTGAATCAGTTACAGGAACCCAAGGTACTTAAACAGAGGAATAATAGGAGAAAAAAGGAATTAAAAGACAAGTGCTCTGACAGAAATGTAAAATATGGGAAGAAAATGGAGGAAGATTTTCAGGAGGGCAGTACAGCATTCCAAGTCCTTGGTATTGGTGAACTAACTTAGTGGCTAAAAGAAAACAGAAAGAAGATACAGGAACTATTTCAATAATTTAAAAAAAATCAATCTGCACTATTATGAAGCAGATAGAAAGTATAGTTGAGGGTCTGGAGGGATGCAGGCAATACACTCATATACATAAAATAAAAATCATAAATAAAATATTGTAAAAGAAAGTGTATTTGAAAGAGATCCTAAAGTTTCATGTCTGAAGAAAAATAACAGCACTTAACAGCCAGAGGCAGTGATGCATGCCCATAAATTCCAACACTTGGGAGGCTGAGGAAAGAGAACTGCTGCAAGTTGGAGGTCAGTTTGGGCTACATAGCCAAGTATCCATCTGGCCAGTGATAAATAGCTAGACTGTATCTCAAAAAAAAAAAAAAAAACCCCAAAAATATAGCCTTTAGAGCAAAGTTTGTAAAGAGCATCTTGGGTAGAAAATACAATTATGTCCCTGTCGATGTGCTACTGGGCCGAATAGCTTTAATTGTCAACTTGACACACCTGGGTAGAGGGAGCCTCAATTGAAGAACTGTCTTCACTGGACTGGCCTATGGCCGTGTCTATGGGACATTTTCTTGATTTTTGAGTGATGTGGCAGGGCCCAGCCCACTGCAGGTGGTGCCACCCCTGGGCAGGTTGCTCTGTATTGTATAAGAAAGCAGGTTGAGCATGGGCCAGGAGAACACACCAGTAAGCAGTGTTCCTCCATGGCCTGTGCTCCAGCTCTGGCCTCCAGGTTTGTTCTCTGAGTTCCTACCTTGGGCTCTCTCAATGATGGACTGTGACCCGGGTGGTGTAAGTCAAATAAAACATTTCTTCTCCAAGTTGGTATTGGTCAGAATGTTTTGTAATGGCAACTGAAGGCAAACTAGAACAGTTACATTTCTAGGCCTAATTTTACTTTATATAAAGTAAAAACAGTAATCAATTAGCAGTAAATATTTTAAAGATTTATAGCAATTTGAGAAAATAATTTTATATACATTGTACTAGAAATTTGAGGCTTGAATTTTGATTTTTAAAATTTTTCTAGTGATTCATTTTCATATCTAATAACTAATTCATTTTATACAAAAATAAAATACAGCTGGGCATGGTAACACATGCCTTTAAACTCAGGAGGCAGAGGCAGGCAGATCTCTTTGAATTCAAGGCCAGCCTGGTCTACATAGTGAGTTCCAGGCCAGCCAGAGCTGCATAGTGAGATCCTGTCTCAACAAAACTACAAAAAATTAAACAAAAATAAAATACAATACAGACTGAAACAGAGAAATTATAAAACCAGTCCTTCACCACAGATTATTTGAAAAACAAACTATAGACAGCAAGATTTACAGAAGGAGACTATGGATAAGTGGGGTTAGACATATAGATGTTACTCAAGCAGTTCTTCCCCCGACTCAAGACAAGTTTAGGTCATCCTTCTCCTGTGGTTACTGTAAGAAATTCAAAGATAAACAGGACTCAGATTCTATCCTCATGTACTTTGCAGACCAATACAGAAGGTATATAAATATGATACAGGACAGAAAAAAATCATTTTGTGCTTCATAATCAAGCTGTACGTTTAGTGTGGTCACATTTCCTCTTCCTCCTTCTAAACTGATTTAAAATATGTAAGAATTGATATACATCATACACTGGAGAAATATATTTGAAGGAATTTTATGCAGCATGCATATAAAACCTTACATATATGCTAACTATAGCAACTGTTAATTTGCATAGCTCTTTCCCTTGAGAGCAGAAACAACTTCTTTTCTTTTTGGGGGTGAGGGAAGGGAGATAGGGTCTTATTATATAGCCCTAGCTGGGATTATAGGCATGTGCCACCACATCTAGCCCTAGAATCTGCTTCTTTAAACTTTAGTACTGTTCTTATATATGATAACACTTGATAACAGTAGGGATACAATAAATGTTGTACAGTGAGAAAGGAACATGCCCTAAGACAGAGCCTTGGTATTGGCATCTATACTAGAAAAAGATAAGGAAATTTTTTTATTGAAGATTATATTTATACATGAAAATATCCATTCTATAGATATCTCTACTGCTATTATTTTTATACAAAATGCAAATATAATTGATTAAGCTTTGTAATTTTGGTTTCTCGAATATTCTCACCAAAGCTCCTGGTTTGGAAAAGTAGATCATTGCCATATTCTTCTCTGAGTGTAATTTCTTCTGGTCTACTTTGGTTCTGAGAAAAGTGTTCTGAAATGTCAATAGCACTATAGCGAAACATAAGTTTGAGGAAAACGTATGAACAAAACACGATGGTTTTTACAAAATACTGAAAAAATTAAAACAAAAACCTCGATTATTTTGTTTTTATTGTTTGGTCTTTTTGAGACAGAGTCTTCCTGAAGCCCCAGCTGACCTGGAACTCACAGAGATCTGCCTGCCTCTGCCTCCCGAGTCCTGTGACTAAAGGCATACACCACCACACCTGGCATAAACCTCGCTTATTATAAAAAGGATTTTTAACTCTCTTTTAAAAATATTTTATTACTTTTATTTTATTTCTATGAGTGTATAGGCTGCATGAATATATGTGCATTTGTGTCATGCAATGCTCCCGGAGGTCAGAAGAAAGCTTCAGATCCCCTGGAACTGGAGTTAGGATGGTTGTTAGCCATCATATGGGTGCTGGGAATTGAGCCTGGGTCCTCTGCAAGAGAAGTCAGAGCTCTTAGCCACTGAGCCATCTCTCCAGCCCCATAAAAAGGATTTTTATTTTATCAATAGCATTTTTATGAGCATGCATTTTAAAAAACATTAAAAAATATCTATTTTTATTTTATGTGTATGTTTTGACTGCATTACATGTGTATCATGTGTGTGCAGTACCTGCAAGAGGCCAGAAGAGGGCATCAGTTCCACTGGAACTGAAGTTATGAATGGTTGAAAGCCTCTGCATGGGTGCTGAGAACTGAACTTGGGTCCTCTAGAAGAACAGGAAGTGCTGAGTCATCTCTCCAGCTCCATGAACATGAATTTTATACACATATATACAGATAATATATATCCAGGCTAACAACTCCAGTGGTTGTTCTCAGTACCTATCTTACTTGTGCTAACCAATAGCATTTGCTATGGACTGAAGGTCTGTGTTCCCTCCAAGTCCTCATGTTGAAATCTAATTACAACTGTGATGGTATTAGGAGATCAGGCCTTTAGAAGGTAACTAGGTCATGAGAACTCTGCTTTCATGAACAGGATTTGTGTGGCCCCAGAATGCTGCCTTGTTCCTTTTATCATGTGAAGACACAGTAAGAAAATTGTCATCTACGAACCAGGAAGCAGAGCCTCAGCAGACACTGAATTTACTGGCACCTTGACTTTGGCCTTCTCAGCCTTTGGGAATGCTATGGCAAGAACTGGGTAATTTATACTCAGAAATTCATTGCATATAATTCTGGAGTTTTGGAAGTCCAAGATCAAGGCACCAGCAGATTGTCTAGCAGGGGCCTATTTCCCCAAAACAGCACCTTCTTGCTGTATCCTCAGATAGTGGAAATGCAGAAAAGCTTCTTCAGGCTCTTTTATAAGGGCACTGACTGTTAATGAGAGTGTTCTGTTTTCATAACCTAATCAGACTCAAAAAATTCCACCATGGGGATTAGTTTTCAACATGTGAACCTACAGGAGTATATACATATATTCAGATCCAAATCATATGTTGTCCAAGCCCCAATTTCCTTCCTTCCCTCTCCTACTTTATAACCCTATCATTCTTTAGGTATCCTGGTTTTAGTGAGTGGTAACTCCATTTTATGTCCCAAATCAAATAATCAGTTTTTGCTCCTTTCTTTTAAAGGCACACCCAGTTCATCAACAAATGCTGTTGATTACTCTGCCTTCCACATATTAATGCTTTGCTGGTTACCATCTTGATGAAATGAAGTCTGAAAACTGATCACAGATGCTATCTCATATGGACTTACTATAATAATCTCACAGGTTCTCTGCTTCCCTTCCTTCCTCCTAAAATGAGGTAGCCAGAGGGAGCATGTAGAAATCCAGTCAGATCTGGTGATTCCTCTATTGTTTATTCAAAACCATGCTGTGCTTCCTCTGAGCAAAATTAAAGCCCTACAATACCCTGTTACTTGCACCTCCTGCTACTTCTAAGCCCTTCTCACTCCACTTCATGCCACTTATCTCCTTGCTGTTCCTGAGCATGTCCAGTGTGCTTTGCCTTATAGCCTTTCTACTTGGTTCTTGTAGCTACATTTGCCTATTAGGCTATTCCCTTAGGGACTTCTTACATAGCTGAATATTTCTCCCAGGAGCATTCTTCTATATTACTATAGATTTGTTCTTAAAGAACTCTTAGTGTCGCTACTATCAGAAAATCTTTCCTGACAATCCTATTATTTATTTTAAGTTTTATTTCTCTTCATATTTGATCACTTAATCATCTCCTGGCACATTGCACATTTATTTGCTTATTGTTAGTTGACACCAACTACAATATAAAATCCATACAGCCAGGAGCTGTATTTTATTCATTGCTATCTCTCTTTTTTTTAAAAAAAATTATTTTATGTGTATGCGTATATTGCCTGCATGTAAGTAAGTGCACCCGTGTCGTGCAATGCCCATGGAGGACAGAAGAGGCTGTCGGATCCCTTGGAACTGGAGTCATGGACAGTTGTTAGCTGCCATGTGGGTGCTGGGATTCGAACCTGGGTCTTCTGCAAGAACAACCAGTGTTCTTAACCGCTGAGCCATCTCTCCAGGCCCTCATTACTATCTCTTTAATGTCTAGAACTGTGCCTGGTATAAAAAGGCATTTAGTGAATATTTATTGAATGAGCAGATGAATATATTGTCAATAAATGAGCTATTTTTATTTTTTTAATTTTTATTATTTTTAAAAATATTACTTTTATTTTAGGTATATGAGTATATTGTTCAGAAGAAGGCCTATTATTTTTATTCTATATGTATGAGTATATTGTCTGCATGTATGTAAGTGTACCTGTATCATGCAATGCCCACTGAGGTCAGAAGAGTTTTTAGTTGCCATGTAGGTGCTGGGAATCGAACCCAGGTCCTCTGAGCCATTTCTCCAGCCCCAAGATATTTTTATTTTTATACTTCAGAATTTCAAACTACATTTGTCAACTATACTTATTCAGTTGTTATGTATATTGCATTTGCCTTCATAAAATCTGAATATGAAAACACTAAAATATAAGAAAATAAATAAAAGGAAAATGAAAGAATTTACTTTGTATTATGGGTGTCAAAATCATGAAATTCTTCTGGTAATGTGATGGCATTGTAAGCTGCTTCAAAATTCTCTCTTGGGAGGTCAACCATTCCTGAAAAGAATAAAAAGGAAAGACTTTCAATAGGCAATGATGCTGAATAAAATAAGAAACTTCCAATTAAATCTTTATTGTCTCTCAGGGGACTACTGATTAATCCCTTTAAGTGGCTTCCCTATATCCATCTACTCCTGCCCCTCTGCCATCTGATCTTTATAAAGAAGTCACAGTACAACTTCCAAAAGTTTCTCATGAATAAAATGATTTAGCAACTTCCCAAGTACAATAAAACCCAAATTTCTAATTGGAACCTATCATGTATCATCTAAGTATGTGCTTCTCCTCAGTCATTATAGGCCACAAACTATCCTTTCTGTTCCCTGAAAAAAAAAATCAAGTGTTTTTCATCATAGGACCTCTGTTCCTATAATTTCACTGGCCTATTATGCCATTCCCCCAGGGACTTTTATGTTCCTTCTCATTTTCAAGTGTGAGTTTAACTTCGATCCCCTCACAAAGACTTTCCTGAACTATCTTGATTAAAATGAACTTCTCCAGGGCTGGAGAGATGGCTCAGCGGTTAAGACAACTGGCTGCTCTTGCAGAGGACCTGGATTTGAATCCCAGCAGCCACAGAGTGGCTAACAACCATCTGTAACTCCAGTTCCAGGAGATCTGATGCCCTCTTCTAACCCCTGTGGGCATTGCATGACATGGATGCACTTACACCCATGCAGGCAATACACTCATACACATAAAATAAATATAATAAATTAAAAAATTAGCTTCTCCATTATTTTCTGTTGTAGAGCTTTGTTCAGTTTCCTTTACAGCATGATCATAATTTGTAATTATTGTGGTAAATTTTAAAAATTTTCATTACCCGATTTCTGCACCAAACTGAAAGGGACCTTATTTATCTTGTTTGTCCTTGTATCTAGAGTGTAACATTATGCTTGGCATAAACCATGAGATTCAATAGATATGTACGGAATTCATAAATAATAAATGAGCAGGTAAAGCATACTTGGTATGAATGTCAATCTACCCAGGGATTCTACAAGTATTTTAGATGAAGATTGCAAAAAAAAAAAAAAGCTCTCAGCTGGATTGATGAAGGAATTGATGAAGGAATTGATGAAGGAATTAATATATGTAGGGCACTAACACTCAGTTACTATAAGAGATTCAGAAAACAGATATGATAAAGATGCTTCCTTTGGGGAGCTTGGAGACTAGTGATGGAGGAAAGACAACACTAAACAAGCCGTGATATAGGAAGACAGGTGGAAATGATGCATATGTCAAAAGTAGAGCAGATACTACATGAATTTTTTAGGCATCATATGTATAACATATGTAAATATCTAGCACTGTGGAATGTCTAGAAATTTGGATAACGCTTCATAAGTTGCCATGTAGTTTAAGAGAATTCTAAAATCAATGACAACTACTAATAGTTCATGTTGTCAAACACACTATTTCTAATTTGGCTCATAAAGACAAAAATAAGTATGACAAACTAAATGACCCATTAAAAATAAAATATCAGATTTTCTTACACAATTTTGATGACTTTAAGTGTATTTCTTATGTTAATACACAGAACATTGCAAGTTTTGGAAACCATAAGTTTTTCCTATAAACACAGAAAAAGAGCAAGGAAAAGAATACAATTTATCTTTAACTATGGAAACAAAATCAGGGTAACCTCTTCCGAGGAGAGTGTGATAAGAATAGGAGGTAGGAACTGGCTAGGCAGTTAGGGTAAAAAGACTCCAAAGAAAAGTAGCCAGTTTCTTGACTAAAAGTCAAAATGTCCTTGGGCCTCTTAGGAACATACTCTGTTCCAAAGGCCAAAAATGACAAAAGTATTTGGGAGCTCTTATCTAATCCCTAAAAGATTTTAGGGTTACCTCTTCAGAGGGGTAATGTTAGAGCAGCAAAAGCCACATTTTAAGAAAGAGAGAGAGAGAGCAAGAGAGAAGAGAAAGAAAGAAAGAAAGAAAGAAAGAAAGAAAAAAGAAAGGAAAAAAAGAAAGAAAAAAAGAAAGGAAAAAAAAGAAAGACGAAGTCAGAAAAAAGTAATGGGGAAATATGGAAGGTGTTGGAGGGGAGGGAGTGGGCATGGATTTGATCAAAACACCTTATATGCATGAATGAAATTCTCAAAGTTTTTCTTTTAAAGTTTAAAAAAAAAACCAAAAAACCCCCAAAATCAGTCAAAATGAAGTTTATTGGTTACACTCACCTGGAATTACAGAATACTGCCAATGAAAAGAGACCACCCAATACAAAATGCCAAAAAATAACCAAGAATGACTCAAATTAACACTGCATATTTACCTGGGCGAAATGTCATCTTCATCTTAAGAAATGCTTCACTGCAATCTGCCAAAAGATATTTTGCCTTCCTATCATAGATTCGAACAACTCCCAAAAGAAGGTGTCCTGAAGTTCGGAGTGCAATTTTCATCTTTCAATAATTTAAGAAGTTATTAGAGTGATAAAAATTAAGTTTATAAATCCTACTCTTTGAAAGTAAGGAAATCATTATTTCTCTTTAAAAAGCAAATATTTTATATTCTTATTAAAGTAAACCACTTTTTACCTCACCTTATAAAATGATTGACCTTTTTACTTGTTCAACAAAGGTACTCTATTGTGGCATTTAAGTGAAATATTCTGTAGTTAATATCATGGGAAGAATATAAACTCTGTCAGGCAAGTCAGGGAAACGGGTTCAAATTCAGTTGCTGAGGCTGTCATTTAACCTTCCTGAATTCACAAAACCTTCAGTTTAATAAAAAAAGCTACAGTTTATTATATAATTATTTTGTGTCAGGCACCACCACCCAAAGAGTTTTTTATGTATTTAATTAATATTGACAATGACATTTATTTAACAGAAGAAAGAAATCCAGGCTCAGAAGTGTTATACTTAAAGTAATGTAGCTATTTAGTGATAAGTATTAAATATAAATTTGATGAATTCAGAGGTTCATGCTCACTATGATACATCACTGAGGCTGAAAAAGCTGACTTTAGAGGTTTATTGTAAAGAATGAAGTCCAGCCCAATGCTTAATATACAATAGCCTTTCAATTATAACAGAAAACACTTGAAAAACAGTAAACCTATAAAAATATTGATATCTAATATAAATTCTAATAGCTGTTTTATAATAAGCATAATTTTTGTTTTCACATAGTTTTATTTATAATCAATACTCTTTCTTACTTTTACCCTTCCCAATCATTCATTTGCTATTTTCTAAGAAATATTTATTAGGTACATATATAATAATTTGTTAGGGAATAAAAAAAGGATTATAAAGTATGCAAAAAATATGGTCTTTATCTTTTTTTTTTTTTTTTTTTTTTTTTTTTTTTTTTTTTTCACCTTGGGAAAATTCCTGTGTTGATCTAACCTGTTTCCTGACCACACTAGTTTCTGGGCTTGTTTTACAGAGAAGGCCACTTGGCTATCTAGCCTTCAGTCTTGAACACTGGTTTTTCCCGAGTGCTGGGATTAAAGGCATATGCCAATTAAGGGCCCAGTCCTTCTATGATAAATACATGAAATGATCACCAACAAAACCCAATACATTGCTTATGCTAAACAAATGCTATGGGAATTAGAAGAGATCATTTGAGAAGTTGTAAAGAATGGAACTTGCCTCTAGGTGGAGATATGTCTTCGTCTTCTTTAAGGGTTAATCCAATGGCACAGGTCAGGGACCTGGCTAGGGGACCTAAAATAACCTGGCAGGTTCACCTTAAGATAGTGTGCTTTTCCTTCCCAGAATTCCCACCCCGACCCAATAGTACAATCCCTACAATCCCATGTGAGCAGAGCCACCCTGAGCAGACCTGAGGCTCGGTTTCTGCCAGAATGTCCTCAGAAATGCACAATTATTTCTTTGCCTTCTTTTCTCTTTTTCTTTTGGATGCTAGCCAGAGCCTAAGTACGCTTTTAAATACCCTAACTAGCACTTTGGACTTCCTTACTCTTCTCCTCTCTCTTCTTTGGGGCTGCCTGCTGCCAGGTGGCTGACTTCCATACTGCCTAATCTCAAGCAGTATGGCTTTTGCTTCCTCTGTTCTCCATTCTCTTCATCCCTTCCAGGCAGCTGCAGATTTACCTGGGGTTTTCCTTTTAAACTCTAAAAAATTGTCTTTGAGCTTCCATTTGTGTCCATTCTTAAATTCTTTTACTAATGAGACTAAGACCACTGGGGGTGGGGTGTGTGTTGCTGGTTTCCTAGATATAGGATGGCTCTGTTAGAACTCTAGGAACACTTCTTTCCTGCCTTTTAATTCTTTAACTGGCAGAGAAAATGAACCTGTTCCTGAACTCCTAGATGGTATCAAAGTAAAAGTATCTTGGAATTGTATTTCATGACACAAATGTACTTTACTTGCTTTACTCTATAGAAGCCATAGTTAATACAAATTATTTTAATTAGTAACATACCTTAGGTGAAATAATTCTTTGAATAGTTATCTCTAGATTACATTCAAATACATGGGCTTTTGTAAGTTTCTTCTCCCAGTGAGCTGCAAGCCATATTTTAGCCAATGGCCCTCGTTTACTCATAAGCACATGGGTGTAGAACATGTTGCCTGTGTAATTACTTAGTTATATTTAAGGAGCTAGAGAGAACACAAAACAGATATCTTAATTTGATTTTAAAAACTTTTGAGTGTTATTTTACAGCAAGCAAAAACATTTCATCAATTCTATAAAATGCTTAAATCATCTCTTAGTCCAATGTATTATTCAAATTATTTTCTTGTTTAAAAAAAGAGAGCCTTATTTAGAAAATTATTATAAACTAATGACAAAGCTCTGCCTCTTTGTGAGCCACACTTGGATTAAATGTATTTGAATCAAAGATATTTTCTTAGATTTTATTTATCTATTTTTAATTTTTATTTTAAGTGCATGAGTGTTTTGCCTGCAGGTAAGTGTACCACATTTGTGAAATGCCCACATAGGCCAGAAGAGGGCATCGGATCTCTTGGAACTGGAGTTACCAGCGGTTGTGAGTCAACAAGTGGGTGCTGGGAACTGAACCCTGGTCCTCTGCAAGAGCAACCAGTGCTCTTAACTGCTGAGCCATCTCTGCAGCTGCCTTAGATTTTATTTTATGCTACAAATAATATGAGTTCTTTTCTTACTAATATAGTAAAATAAAGGCAGGAAGGTTGCTGAAAAAAGTAGAAGATAGAAACAAGCAAAGAAAATAGAATGGGAAGAGGTAGATAAAACTAAGAAACAGGTCATCTGTTTCCTAAAAATTAAGAATTTGATAAATGTTGGATCACTGACTTTTTTTTTTTTTTGTCTTTTTGAGACAGGGTCTCCCTGTAGCCCCTGTTGGCCTGGAACTCTCTATGTAGTCGAGGCTGGCCTTGAACTCACAGAGATCTGCCGGCCTCTGCCTACCAAGTGCTGGGCTTAAAGGCAGTCCAATGCGACTACACCCAGTTGGATCACTGATTTATATCAAGGCATCTATGTTTTTCTCTTCAAGATGCTCGACATTATTATCATATTGTTTATTATTATTATTATTATTATTACTATTACTATTACTTGGGATGGGCTGCTGCTTATAGCCCAGAGTGGCTTTGATTTTCTTTCTGCCATGCTTGACTTTAAGTATATTAATGTTTAAGTTAAAATAACAGAATTACAAAAGATTATAAAGTTAAAAAAGAAACTACAGGAAAAGAATCAAAAGACAGAAACCGCCAAAATTTAATGTTTTGAAGAGTGGTAAAATTTTCACTTAATATGAAGAAAATGGCCATTATCTCTACAAATCGCACTATTCCTTTTTTTTTCTTTTTCATAATTGTTACTGTATGTGAATGAGCGTTTTGTCTGCATGGATGTGCAAAGCCCATGGAGGCCAGGAGAGGGTGTGAATCCCCTGGCATTGGAGTTATGGACAGTTGTTAGCTGCCATGTGGGTGCTCTGAACGGAACACAGGTCCTCTGCAAGATCAGCCAGTGCTCTTAACCTCTGAGCCATCTCTCCAGCTCTCTTGACCACATGGTAAGGCTCTATTGCGAAGCCCCAAATGAGGAGAGATGTTATACATGTTGACTCAGAGTAGAATCAAATTATTGCTTTTACATCATTTTAAATTGCCAGTATGGAAGTTTTTCTACTAAACGTTGGTAAAAGAGGACACTAAGCCAAAATGAAGACACAGCCATAGAATTTAAAATTTGGGTCAACTTTGATCAATGCCCTTTTCCACCACAAGAATCAAACTAAAGGTTATGAAATGTACCAAACCACAGTTCCTGAGAGACACCTCGGAGGGTGTTGTCTCCCACCTTGTGTTTGTTGGACTTCCTTTCTACTGTTTTGGTGTCTTGGAATTAATTCCAAACTTATCTTTAAAAATTGCTCTCTGGGGCTGGAGAGATGGCTCAGCAGTTAAGAACATTGGCTGTTCTTGCAGAAGACCTGGGTTCGAATCCCAGCACCCACAAGGCAGCTAACAACTGTCCCTAACTCCAGTTCCAGGGGATCTGACACCCTCTTCTGACTCCAGCAGGCATTGCACAACACTGGTGCATTTACACACATGCAGGCAATGCACTAATACAAATAAATAAAAATAAATTAAAAATTGCTCTCAAGTAAGTGAGATACGTAACATTTACATTTTCAGCAATAGATTAAAAACAAAAACAAAAGCAGAGCTGGGCAGCGGTGCATGCCTTTAATGCCAGCACTCAAGAGGCAGAGGCAGAAGGATCTCTGTGAGTTCGAGGACAGCATGGTCTACATAATGAGACCCTCAAACAAACAAACAAAAACCAAAACCAAAACCAAGCAAAACCCGCCGCTGGGATTCAACATACAGGAGACCAGAGAC